AGCGGGGCGGGGGCGAGGCCGCTAGGGAATGGGGGCTGACGAGCGGCAGGCGGAGCCGGGCGGAGAAGGGAGCCTGGAAGAGGCACTCAGGGGCGGGCCCTGGGGAACGGTTGCGGCCCCAACCTAGATTTCCCGGGCTTAGCGGCTGGAGCGCTCCCAGAGATGCAGGGGCCGCCGCCACACCTTGGACTTGGCTGAGCAGGGAGGAAGAGCGAGCGTCTGCGGCCCGCGAGCGCCGCCCCTTCCGCGGGCGTAGGCGGGGCAGATAGGACTAGCGGGGCGGGTCTTGGGGGCGGGTCTTGGGGGCGGGCGGCCGGGGGCGGTGTTGGCCGAGGCCGCGGGCCTGCTTCGCAGAGGCCCACGTTCTCCCCCGAGCTGCAGAACTTGTGCGGGCCCGAGGGTCACTACATCCCGCGGGGAGGGCAAAGGCAGGCCCGGGAAACCCACCTCTGTGCGCAGGCCCAGGTTGGCACCGAGACCTAACTCCGGGCTGCTTTTCTCGATGGAGCTGGAAGTCTCGAACGCTTGCTTACAGAGCCCACACACGGTTGTGCGCACCCCAAGGTTTGCGATTCCCACGGGTGCCCAGAAAAGATACCCAGACATTAGCAAATAGACACACACACACACACACACACACACACACTGGCTCGTCCGTGTCAGACGTGTGGCAAATCACACGCATGTAGCGACAGGAGAGTATGTGTCTACACAGGCCCAGGAAGTTCTGCCCTGAAGCATTTGTTGGGCTGTAGAAGAATAAACGACAGGTGCGGGAGCGGGACGAGGCGGGTTCTGGAGGCAGGGAGCGGTCCTTAGCCCCGGCAGGGAAGCTGCCATCGTCTTCTTGCAAATGATGAGCGGGGTGGGCTTCTGCGGGTTATCTTTGCCCACAAACATCAGCGTTGCACTGCACTTCTGCTTGGCCCCCAGACTTCTGAAGAGACTAGACCACCGTCCTCAGGCGGGTATTCGAGGCCCCCAGACTCCCCCAGGGACCCAGCCTCACCGTCCCTCCCCCTCCTGCCTTGCCCAGTTCTGCCCAGTGCTGACTGGTGGTCTTCTAGACCAGCGCAGGAGCTTCTTCCCGGGAGCCTTCCCAACCCAGGCTTACCTTTGCTGGTAACCCCAGAACTCCCAATCTGGGCCGAAGAGAGAGATCTGCCAAGAGGGAATAGAGTCCCCGACATGCAACAGAGCACCAGGGGACCCAGGAGCCTGGAGGGGACAGATGGGGCGGGATACATTCTGCCAGGATCCACATCAGCCCAGCCCTAAGCCACAGAGAGGGGCTGGCAGGAATTCTGAAGAAGGAACCCAAGAAGGTTCTGCCGGAGGAGGGAGACAGGAAGGCTGGGGCGCGCGGCCGGGTGCCTGGGTCCTTGGCGACCAAGAGGGGCTGTGTCCAGAGACCACGTACCAGGACTCAAGAGTGGTTGAATGGGATCTGCCGGGAGCGGGGGACTGATGTGACCCCCTTGAAACCGAGCTGCCTCCTCCTGCATGCCAATGTCGCGCAGCCTGACTGCCTTGGGCTCAGAGCCGAAGTGCTCACCGCAGAGGGCAACCAGCTTTGTGGGGCGTCTAGCTGCCGGAGCAGCCCCGCGGGATGCTCTGGAAGCCTCGGCGCAGCGGCTCCGCTCCCAGCTTCAGTTTGAACTTCTTGAACTCAGCCACCGTCAGGTTTTCCCCGCGCAACGAGGGTGGCGTCACGCATCTTCCTCATGGCTTAGCCCTGTCGCCACTGAGCCTCTGATGGCTCCATGCTAAGAGCCACCAGGTCCGCCCTGTCTTGGCCGGAGCATGACCTGGCGGCTGGCCACGGGGGCCATGGGCTGGCTAATCCTGGGGCTTCTGCTAAGACGGGGACTCATCCGCACACAGAGCCTAGAGGGTCTCTCAGTTTCCCTTCAGTGGAGTGGGCAGGAGGCCACAGATCTGTCACAACCCCGGGTGAAGTGAGGAAGACTGCTCTCGTTCTGCAAAAGAGGAACCTGAGGTTGGAAGCCATGGAGGAGGGACTGGGACCGTCTGATTCCAGGGCCATACGCTTTCCCGGCAAAAAGTGACTTTGGCAGGGGCTCTTAAGAGTTTCCCTACACCTGCCTTTCAGGACTCACAAATTGGCAGGCCGAGGGTAGGATTCTGCCCACAAATCTGTTTGGTAGACACAGCAGAGATATATATATATATATATATATATATTTAAGGTAAGCTTTACCCTCAGCCTGGGGCTGGAGCTCCCCACCAGGAGATCAAGAGTCACATGCTGTACCGACTGAACCAGCCAGGTGCCCCAACACAGCAGACATTGTTATTAAATTGCCTGCCCCCACAGCCCTTGTGGGGGCAGGAAGGCAGATTGGGGTGTTTTGTTATTGTTCTGCTTTTAAGGATGGGGTAAAGCCCAGGGAAAGGAGGAGGTTGTATTTCTTCTTCATGCATCCTACACTCACTCCAGGAGGCCTGCTGTGTCAGCGCTGTATCCCTCTGTTTGTCGCCCTCACAAAGACCTGTGCTAGGGGTGCTAACGGCCGGGGGTGTGGGGTCAGGGAAGGGAGGCCAGGGAGGATTTCCCTAACGAGGCAGTGGGAGGGTAAGGCGTTCTCGACATCAGGACCCGTGCCCGCGAGGGCCTAGAGATCTGCACACGAGTTCGGGGAATGGTGAGATGCCCACCTGACTGGAGGAGGAGCCGGCATTGAGGCTGAGCCAGAAAGGGCAGGTTTAGGGCAGCACATGGGGGGCGGGGGCCGCCCCTTCACTTCTTTATGCCTCACCCCCTCTCAGACACAACTGCCGCAGCAGAAGCTGCAGCTGCAGGAGGCGTGCATGCGCAAGGAGAAGAGTGTGGCTGTGCTGGAACATCAGCTGATGGAGGTGGAGGTGAGGGGCTCAGCACAGCAGGGCCGGGGGACTGGGCATTGGCCTGGGGATCCCAGCCCAGTGCTTTGGCCTGTTTGCTCCCCCAGGAGACGGTGCGTCAGTTCCGGGGGGCTGTCGGGGAGCAGCTGGGCAAGATGCGGGTGTTCCTGGCGGCACTGGAGGGCTCCTTGGACCGTGAGGCGGAGCGAGTGCGGGGTGAGGCCGGGGTTGCCTTGCGGCGGGAGCTGGGAAGCCTGAACTCTTACCTGGAGCAGCTACGGCAGATGGAGAAGGTCCTGGAGGACGTGGCCGACAAGCCCCAGACTGAGTTCCTAATGGTGAGCACTGGATGACCTTCCCTCTCTGCTTCTCAGCCAGGGTTTGGGGCCTAGAGACCTCGTCCCATTTTCAGACATGGACTTGGAGGTCCAGAGAGGACAAAGCCAGGTCACACATCGGGGGAGGGGGGCAGGACTGCTGTTATGGTTGTTTAGGTTGGACACTGCACATGGACACTGAATTTAAGTGGGCACCGTTCATATAGACACTGTAGGTTTGTATGTTTATTTGGACAATCTTCTACCCAGTGGAATTGGTCTCTTGAGGAAAGGGAGTACGTTTTTATAGCTCACACAGAGGTAAAGGGCTAGGGTTGGCTTTAAATTCTGGGTTTCTTTTGGCTTTCCTGATTCTTCCTGACCCCACACTTAGCATTCCCGGTGGTCCATCCATCCTCAGAAGTCCCCAGCGTCTCCCCTGCCTGCCTCACCTCCATCTCTTTATCTCTCTTTCCAGAAATACTGCCTGGTGACCAGCAGGTGAGATCAACTTGGCCCTGCCCCTTTTCCCAACTTGCCCTAGTCTTCAGGGACACTGGCTGGCTTACCCTCTAATCACAGCAAGCCTGTACACCCCATTCCGTCCACCGCCATCTTCCTGCATTTGTGTTGAGTACAGAAATGACCCTGACCCTGACCTGGTCTTTCTCCTCAGGGACCTCCCAGACTGGCGCTGGGGATGGACGTGGGCGGGGACACAGGTGTCCGTAGGGGCTCAGTGCTGCTGTGGCGGGAAGGGGGTGGCCGGGGCAGGCTTCGCAGAGGGAGCGCTGGAGGAATGCCAGGAGTGGGGAGGTGAAGAGCTGGGGGAAGAGGCGGGCCGAGACTGGTAAGAGGGAGAGAAGGTGAAGCCGCCGTGGTAGGTGAGGGCAAACTGAAAGCCTGAGGAGCTTGGCCCTTACACCAACAGAAGATTCTTCTTAAAAAAAAAAAAAAAAAAAAAAAAATTTTTTGTGGGGGTGCCTGGCTGGCTCAGTCGGTGGAGCCTGCGACTCCTGATCTCGGGGTGGTGAGTATGAGCCCCATGTTGGGTGTAGAGATCACTTAAGTAAGTAAACAAACAAAAAATCTGTGGTAAAATATATATGATGTAAACTTTGCCATTTTAATTATTTTTTGACGTGTACGTTTTAAGTTCAGTGGCATTAAGTACATTCATGTTGTGCCACCATCCAGCACCATCTCCCTCCAGAACTTCTGCATCCTTCTAAACAGAAACTCTGACAGAGTTTTAAGCCCAGGTATGATGCAGGAGAGATCCTGGAACTCCACCACAGCCCCTGTCCTCCTCTCTTCGGGGTAACGCCTCGGGCCCTGCCCCTGCTCCATGCCTCCTCCAGGAAGTCCCTCCACACACAGCTGCCCCCACCTCCCCACCCCCAGGCTACAGAAGATCCTGGCAGAATCACCGCCGCCTGCCCGTCTGGATATCCAGCTGCCTGTCATCTCAGATGACTTCAAATTCCAGGTGTGGAGGAAGATGTTCCGGGCTCTGATGCCAGGTACTGGGGAGGGGCTGTCTCCGGGTTTGTGTTTGTAACTGTGCGGTTGAGGGGAGGTCCTGGCTACGCAAGAGAGGCCTCTCAGTCCCAGCTGGGAGGTCATCGAAGAAGGTGCCCGTTGCCCCTTTACCTCTGGGGTTTGCCTTGCACTCTTGTAACCTGTGCTCAGAGAAGGACCTTTGGGGGCATGGGGTTTACGGGTGGGGGACTGATGTGAGGAGGACCGTGCTTACCGTTGGCAAGCCCTGTGTGATCCTGGGTCAGTTCCTGCCCCCTCTCGATGGCCGAGATGATCATGGTTGCCAGTTGGAGGCCGAGGATGTGCAGAACAGACACCCTGGGGATGGGCCTAGGCCAGACGTTGACTCTGGTGGCCTGTGGCTGGGGAGGCCCTTAAGGTTCTGCCTCCTCTCCCTGAGAGCTAGGTCACAGTGAGGTGCCATAGGTTACAGAACTCCAGGCCACACACACATGGCTGGGAGAGCCCTGACCGCCTTGTGGGAGGAGGGGTGGGAGGAGATTCTGTTTTATCCAAGGCAAGACTAAGTAAGGCCCAGAGATGGGCTCAAGACTGACTGAAGTCCCACAGCTGGGTGAGGTGGGGGCCGGCCTAGGACCCGGCTTCTTGACTGTCTCCTGCTTTGGGACCTGGACCTCAGCTACTGACTTACATGCCTTGTCGCCCCGGGGTCCTCCCTACCTTGGAAGGAGGCAGTTATGGCGTCGTTTTCCAGCCAAGCCGACTGAAGCTCAGACAGGTCCAGTCTTTGGCCCAAGCCAGGAAGCAGAGAGGGTCTCACCTCCCAAAGATGTTGGGGGGATTAGAGCAGACCCGCTGGCCCCTAAGTTGGTTGGGAGAAGCTTGCGGGAGGGAGGCAGACACGCAGGGGCCTGACCACTCTCCCCTTCGCAGTTATGAAGGACCTGACCTTTGACTCGAGCACGGCCCATCCGAGCCTGGTGCTGTCTCCCTCCGGCCGCCGCGTGGAGTGCTCGGACCAGAAGGCGCCGCCGGCCGGAGAGGACCCGTGCCAGTTCGACAAGGCTGTGGCGGTGGTGGCGCACCAGCTTCTGTCCGACGGCGAGCATTACTGGGAGGTGGAGGTGGGCGATAAGCCGCGCTGGGCCCTCGGCGTGATCGCCGCCCAGGCCAGCCGCCGCGGCCGCCTGCACGCGGTGCCCTCGCAAGGCCTCTGGCTGATCGGGCTGCGAGACGGCAAGATCCTGGAGGCGCACGTCGAAGCCAAGGAGCCGCGCGCACTGCGCACCCCGGAAAGGCGGCCGTGGCGCATTGGGATCTACCTAAGCTTCGGGGACGGAGTCCTCTCCTTTTATGATGCCAGCGACGCCGACGCCCTCGAGCTGCTCTTTGCCTTCCACGAGCGCCTGCCCGGGCCCGTGTACCCCTTCTTCGACGTGTGCTGGCACGACAAGGGCAAAAACGCTCAGCCGTTGCTGCTCGTGGGAGCTGATGGCGAGGAGGCCTGAGCCGACCACTGGGTTGGGGAGGGGTGCAGGGTACTGCAGGCCTGGAAGGAGACGGGGCGCGCAGGGGTTGTCAGGACTGAAGGCAGGGCCACGGTGGGGGGAGGGGGGCAAGCGGGGGGGGGGGGTTGGGGACCGGAGACTCTAAGAGTTCTGAGAAGTTGGAAGTTTTAGGGGTTGGAATGGCTGTGGGGAAGGGAGATCTAAAGTTAGGTCAGTAAGGAAATCCCAGTTTGGGAACCAGGAAGCCCAAAGTTTCCAGGAAGAAATTGAAGTTGAGGGAAGGCGTGAAAAGGGTCAGGTGTCTGGGGCTGGTGGCGGGGGTGGGGTCTGAACAACTCTGTAGAGCAAGTAGCTCCTTCAGCCTCATGTTCCCCTCCTTCTTGTTGGCCTTGGGGCAGGGGGTCCAGACCCACCATACAGAAAGGTCTTTCCCTTCATGGTTCTCCAGCTTGGGCGTGCATCAAAACCACTTTTTCAAAGCGTGTAACAGTGACTTGTTAAAGCGGAGTGCTGAGCTTCTGGTTCACCAGGTCTGGGGGCAGGCCAAAATTTTGCTTTTCCAACAAGTTCCCGGGGCTGTGCTGTTGCTGCAGGTTATAAGTGGGATCACCTGGACAATCCTGGACTTAGACACTGGTCTGTTCAGGCAACTCTCCATTACACAGAATCAGTTATCAGATAGCTATCAGCTCTCAGGAGTAGAAAACACAAACTGTATTCCTCTGGAGATTGAACAGTCATTGAAAAACTGCCAGAGCCCATGCTAAGTGAATAAACTGACCCCCCAACTATTTCCCTTTTGCCTCTGGAATATGTTTACTGAGTGTCTTGGACATTGAAGAAATCTCTCGAGTTGCCAAGCAAGAGAAAGAGCCTGATGCCAATCCCAGCCTGGGCCCTGCTGCTTGTGGAGAATAGAAGGCTCCCTCCACCCCACCCGCCCCCACTTCTCCTGGGTTGGCCCCTTGCTGCTTACTCACTGGTTCACACCTTCTTTGGTTTTAGCTCAATGGCCCATTTCTTGGGCTCTGGAGTTACCACTGAGGCCCAGAGTGAGAGTTCTTCTTCCTTAGAGGGAAAGGCCTTTGGGGACTCAGGCAGGTGGGACTGCCCCTCCTTTGTGAGAGAAGATGATGGTGTGGGGCCATTTGCTCTCTGTGTCGGGATGTTGCTGCCGATGTGTGAAAGAGCCTGGGGACTCCTGGAAACCGGTGCCAATACGGGAATTTTCTTGGGGGATAGAGTGAAAGGAAAGTGTGGGTAGGGTAAGAGAGGCCTCAAGATCTGGCTGGGGGCATCCCACATTCCTGGCTGTGTCTCCCAGAGGAATAGCTCTCAGACACCAAAGAGAGGATTAATTTGAGAAGCTGTTTCATGCTAGAGTAAAGTAAAAGTAAAAAGATTATATGGTTGTAAAATTCAGCAGCATTAATAGAGATGATTATATTCAGACTCCTTCCCCATTAAATCTGTGCAAAGGGACAAGTGACCTATTGCTAGGCCTAGTAACCTCCTATTTTCCACCTGGCTTTCAGTCTTGACCCATCTCATCTTTCCAAAATCACAAACGTGGTGGTAGGATCCAGTTGCTCAAAACTTTCAACAGCTCCGTGTTGCCTGCAGGAGAAAGCCCTAGGTCTTTGGCTCAGCATTTGAGATACCCTGCTATTCTCCAGCCACATCTACACTCTGGCCCTACTGACCTCTTGGGCTCCCTGCACCACCACATCACATAACTGTCTGTTGGGAATGCTTTTTTGCCTCCCACTCATCCTACAGGAATTCCCCGAAACACCACGATTTTTTATCTTCTCCAGACACCAGCTCATCTTTACAAGGTGCATTCCAATGCCCTCCCCTGTCACGGGCTGGCAATGTCCAAGAGCCCAAAGCCCCTTCCTGAAGAATTAGGTGCTCTGAGAAACAGATGCCAAGACAGCATTAAATGTGCAAGGGTTTTATGAGGGAAGATGCCCATGCGGGGGCAAACGGGGCTGTCAGATTATGATGCCAGTCTGACCCTGAGTGAAGGAGAGAGTGAGGGAAGGTTGGGTGAAAGTGTCGTTGATGGTTGTGGGGACTTCCCTACAAGTTGCCTGTGCAGGGAGCCCTGTGTGTCCCCAGTATGGGCCTGCCTTTGCATCCCTGCCATGTTTGCGTCATTGCTGGGAGGTGGCTGCGGGAGCTGTGCTCGGCACAGATGCAGGGATGGGTTTCACAGCTCTTCAGCTTCTGCCCTCAGTCTTTGCTCCCCTTTGTTGGAGTTCTGTCAGGAAAATGTCTTTTCACAGCCACTGCAGGTTCTTTCTACATAAAGTTACCTTGGCTTGAGCTGTGTGCATGGGGGGAAATGACCCTGTGATCTTACCTATCTATGGCTGACTGAGTGAGAGAGGGGGTCCCTGAGACAAAGGCTGTCATGATGTGACAAGTTTGTGGGAAACTTTGCCTAGTCAGAGTGTTCCTTGTTGTATGGTGGCCCCCTGGCCCATCCAGAATCTTCCTGGCGATGTAGGAAGGGGAAATGGAAGCACAGAGCTGAGTTCCTCCAGAACCCGTGTCTCCAAAGACCAGAATCTTCTCCTTTAGTACTTCCCCCTCATGGAGACTCTGGGAACCCAGAGCAACCAGCTGCTGAGAGGTTTCCTGTGCCTCCTGACTTCCTTATGTATAAGAACAAACTGGCACCGGCCAGGGCCATGCTACACTTCAAGCAAAACCTTTTATTGAGAGCTTGTTATTTGGTATCTTATTTGTCCTCATAGCTCTAGGCCTCACAATGACTAATGCCCCTACTAGGCTCTGTTGCCTCTTTCAAATAATTAATTAATTAATTAATTTGAGTGAGCGAGAGAGCGATGCACATGACCTAGGGGTGGGGAGAGGCAGACGGGGAGAGAGAAGCAGGCTCTCTGCTGAGCAGGGAGCCCGATGCAGGGTGATCCCAGGATCCTGGGATCATGACCTGATCAGAAGGCAGATGCTTAACCTACTGAGCTGTCCAGATGCCCGGGCTCTGTTGCCTCTCTGTCCAAGGTTCAAGTAACCCCTGGGAACATGATGGTATGACCATGAATCCACAGGTGCATGATGCATCTTGGAGTATCAAATTTATACCAGGATTATTATTATTCTTGATGGTGGTGGTGAGAAAGTTGTATAATTTAACCAATAAGTAAACATTGCAAACATGTTCATATTAAAACAAACATATTATGGAGTACAGAATTGACAGAAATTTTTGAGATTAAACAAGAGATGTTCACGAACTTTTGTATTTGTACTGGCTGTTTGGATCTAGTCTTCTAGACCCTCAGGGATATGAATTCCTAAAATTATTTTAAAAAATTTTAAAAAATGAGGGGCACCTGGGTGGCTCAGTTGTTAAGCATCTGCCTTTGGCTCAGGTCATGATCCCAGGGTCCTGGGATCGAACCCCGCATTGGGCTCCCTGCTCAGTGGATAGCCTGCTTCTCCCTCTCCCACTCCCCCAGCTTGTGTTCCCTCTCTCGCTATATCTCTCTCTCAGTCAAATAAATAAATAAATAAATAAATAAATAAATAAATAAAATCTTAAAAAAATTAAAAAATGCACAAATATACTTAATAATATCTTACAGATAAGAGGAAAGTTCTCTGACCATGTTTCCCTCCCCCACCCATTCCTAATTTCTTCTCTTTTTTCTTCATCAGAAATAATGTCTATTGTCAGTTTGGGGAGTAGTTTTCCAGGACCTCCTGTACATATACATGTTCCACAGAAAATAGTATTATATTTTTCTTTCTATATAAATGATGTCGTACTCTACATGAACATGACATATTCTACAACATGATTTTTCATTTAGTCATATAGTTAGAAGATCTATCCATGTCACTATATAGAGTGTACGTTCTCCTTTTTAACTGCTGTGTAGTATTCCACTATATGAATGTGCCATTGCTTACTTAATCATTCCCTGATTAATTGGCATTTGTTTCTATTTTTTTGTAATTACAAACAGTGCTGCAATGAGCATCCTTGTATATGCCCCTGTGTACACATGCACAAGGGTTTCTCTAGGGTAGATTCTGAGTGGTGGAGTAACTGTGGCCTAGCATGTATACCTTTAAAATTTGAATAGGTGGGGTACTAAATGAGAAAAATATGCAGCCAAGAATACTTTATCCAGCTAGGCTGTCACTGAAAATAGAAAAAGTGATAAAAAGATTCGAGGACAAACAGAAAATAAAAGAATTTCTGATCACCAAAGGAGCCCTACAAGAAATATTGAAAGGGGTCCTCTAAGCAAAGAGAGAGCCCAAAAGTAACATAGACCAGAAAGGAACAGAGACAATATACAGTAATAGTCACCTGACAGGCAATACAATGGCACTAAATTCATATCTTTCAATAGTTACCCTGAATGTAAATGGGTTAAATGCCCCAACCAAAAGACACAGGGTATCAGATTGGATAAAAAAAGCAAGACCCTTCGATGTCCTGTCTGCAAGAGACTCATTTTAGACCCAAAGACACCTCCAGATTGAAAGTGAGGGGGTGGATAACTATTTTTCATGCTAATGGACACCAAAAGAAAGCTGGGGTAGCAATCCTTATATCAGACAAATTAGATTTTAAACCAAAGACTGTAATAAGAGATGGGAGAGGGCACTACATCACACTTAAAGGGTCTATCCAACAAGAAGATCTAACAATTGTAAATATCTATGCCTCTAACATGGGAGCAGCCAATTATATAAGCCAGTTAATAAGAAAATCAAAGAAACATATTGGCAATAATACAATAATAGTAGGGAACTTTAACACCCTCCTCACTGAAATGGACAAATTATCTAAGCAAAAGATCAACAAGGAAATAAAGGCTTTAAATGACACACTGGACCAAATGGACTTCACAAAACAACAGAATGCACATTTTTCACTAGTGCCCATGGAACATTCTCCAGAATAGATCACATCCTAGGTCATAAATCAGGTCTCAAACAGTACCAAAAGACTGGGATGATTCTCTGCATATTTTCAGACCACAATGATTTGAAACTAGAACTCAATCACAAGAGGAAAGTCGAAAAGAACTCAAATACATG